CTTGTTAGAAGGTGATTTCTTCTACTGAACCAGAAATGCTATAAAAACTGGTCACCAAAAACAGAACCACTGAGTAATTTGGCATTCATCTATATAATGGACACATCAGTACGTGAGTAAAACCTAAGAAAAGAAAGTATTGTTGAATTTCGCGCAAAGCTACACGAGGACTATCTGTTCTAGCCATACCGAATTTAGAATTGATAGACTAGAGGGAAGGCAAATAGTTAACACCGTCTATCGCCAACTCTTGACCAACGAAAAGTGGGATTTACCGTCACATTTAACTCCCCACAGATGGAAGTACGAGCATGTTCAGTGCGGGATTTGAACCCACGACCCGCAAATTGTGAGTCAACGCCCTAATCACCAGGACATGCTTGGCTAACGGAAGAAAGAAAATCGGAACTGACTTTTCAATTTCTGAAAATGTACCCCCCCCCCCCAGTGGCACAGCGGTATGTCTGCGGACTTACAACGCTATAAACCAGGTTTCGATACCCGTAGTTGGCAGAGCACAGATAGCCCATTGTGTAGCTTTGTGCTTAACTTCAAACAAACAAACAATCTGAAAATGTATGCACGGCTAAGACTCATTTCTGGTCAATATCCTATTAAAATAGGCGTTTAGGTGTATGAATAATCTTATAATTTACATAGTATTTAACACTCAAGTTCGAGATAGATAGGGCATGGTATAATTGAAGCAATTTATATACAAAATTATGACAGTTTCGTATAAAGATTATCTTTACTGTTTTTAGATTTTTGGTAACATTTTATAATACGTACTATCAAATTAACAGTACCTTGTGACCAAAGTAAGTTATCTACTAAAAATTAACCACTAAAGAATACATCTAATTTAATATGCCATTCGTACTTATAATGATTAGAATACATTGATTAAGCAGTTAGGTACCTTCGCTGTTAGCGATATTTTCGGCCATAATCCCAATAGTATCTCACAAGATTCCACAAGCTTTGTCTAGTTTAGTCCAAAATCCATATTATAAGCTAACGACGGAAAATAATCCTCAGAATATATATTACATACATAGTAAACGTTTTAACAGATACCGTTATGACATCAAAGCATGATACCAATATAGGCAAAACTTTATATAGTCCTTCCGAACAGTGTATAATGATCAATGAAAGTCCATTAAATTGCTCTGAAAACGTAAATGTAGCTTCTCAATTGAGATACATTACCATGACGCATGTTGCTGTTTTACTATGGAGTCGGATAAACCGGTAGAGATAGTGCGGCAAAAATTAGTGTTTACGAAAGTAAATAACGCCCCCCAGTGGCACAGCGGCATGTCTGCGGACTTACAACGCTGTAATCCGGGTTTCGATACCCGTGGTGGGCAGAGCACAAATAGCCCATTGTGTAGCTTTGTGCTTAATTGCAAACAAACAAACAAAGTAAATACCAATAATGAATATTAAATAATAAATTCAATGAATTACTAAGTCATACAATAAATCTTAAAAGCATCGGTACTCTAAATCAATTAACGAAGTTAAATGTAATAAAAAGAAAAAATAATTTACTAAAAATAATACGAGCTGTGTCTAATACAATTAATCCGATTTAAACGATGGAACAACGGTAAGTTTACGGATTTACAACGCTATAATCCGGAGTTCGATTCCCCGCTTTGGAAACAGCAGCTATCCCAAAGTGGCTTTGTTTTAAAACAAACAAACAAACGAAATATACGATCTACTACACGTAGGGTTAATTTACAGAATGTACAACGGAAGTAGTGAATAACACTAGGGCTATCTGCGCTAGCCGTCCCTAATTTAGCAGTGTAAGGCTAGAGGGAAGGCAGCTAGTCATCACCACCCACCGCCAACTCTTGGGCTACTCTTTTACCAATGAATAGTGGGACTGACCGTCACTTTATAACGCCTCAACGGCTGAAACGGCGAGCGTGTTTGGTGTGACGAGGATTCGAACCCGCGACCCTCAGATTGCGAGTCGAGCACCCTAACCACCTGGCCATGCCGGGCCTCCAAAAATGGGGAGCCGTAACAAATACACTCTACTATTAAGATACTCAGTGTCTAGTTCATTGGGTGGGGGTCTCAGTCAGAATATGGAATGTTCTGGAGGGTCTTTTACTAAGAAAGTTTGGTAACTCATGCAGTAGAGCGCTTAGGACAGTAACAAGCTTCTAAAGCACGACTAGAGGGCCATTACTTTGTACTTCATCATATTTCCTATTATCGTTAACAAGATGATAAACAAGATTTGAAGTTGGTGAAGGCTCACAAGTCGGCATTTGCAAGTTTACAGCTACATCTCAAAATTAACACCTGCTTTTATGAGCAACGTGACCGAAAAATCTGGAACCACCTCAAAAATGATTTGACCCATATGCATCTCCAATAAACTTTTGTGCCTTTAATCTGTATAAACGTGGTCCTTCGCCTGATACAGTCTAATCCTGACATCTCTTGAAGGATTTGGTTCATTGAGACATTGTCTGGCGCCTATTGCACTGAACGCCATCTTTTCTCTCGATCAGACACCATCAGTTGGCGGTTGCTGTCTTTATTAATACTCTTTTTAAAATTATTAATAAGTGCAAGAACACAGGCTAAGCAGCTTCGTCTTACTTATAGATGGGGAAATATTATATATAGCTCCCCCTTCTCGAAACCAAAATAATAAAAGACTGAGAAAGAAAAAGCATAAATGTTAGTTTTTTCTCCGTAATTTATGGCATTTCTTAATTAAGTTTTTTATACATAATGCCCACAAAGAAATTGACATAAATTATGCATGAACCAAGGGGACTTATAAACACTGCTTCACACCAAAAGAAAGTGTGAATGAATTTTGTTACAGTTTTTAGTGCACAGTACAAAAGCGTTCTACTGTACTGCGCGCTGCTTCAACAGAAATAGGTTAATGAGTCAGGATTTCTCTCCTAATAAACCTTAAACCGTTTTGCTACTGTTTTTTTAAATTATTTTTTGCTTCTGGTTCCTCACATCAGGGGCATTTCCACTTGGGACTCAATCAGGAAGAACTTCTAAGCCCTTCTTCTGACATCCGCATTTTATTCTCCTCCATTCAAAAACTTGTTACCTGTGTAATAGACTCTGATGGCACAAGTATTTGAACAGCCGGTTTAAACAAACGTTTTTTCATAACGATGCTCCTGCTAGACAAGCACCCACTATCAGACCCTTTTGAAAGTCGGAGAGAGCCTTGATCTTTCTCATCGTATTGCAGTCTAATCATTATATGCTTAAATCTCTTTATAGGTCCCAAGCAACCACCCGAAATACAATATGATCAGTTCATTTTATAAAAGAAATCAGTGGAATAAAGTGTTGTGTTTTGTAGTCTTCTGAAAATACTAACTCAGAATCATGTATATTTTGGTGAAAAACTATAAAATTTCTGTAATTTCAAAAACATTGATAATATTATATAAACACCATATTTTTGTTTTAGTGAATTGAAAAACATGAGGACCAGTCTATTATAGGATTTGTTAGATGTCACTAAGTTACACTGGTATCGGGGACACATCATAAACCGTGGCTATATACGAACAAAGAGCAAGACTAGGCTTCTTGTAGAGAAAAGTTGAAGTTTATGGGTCTGGTATTTGGAATATTCTTTTGTCTTCCATAAGTTCGTATATAGATGCAGGTGTTTGTACAATATGCAATATTGGGGCTACCTTTAATATCTTCTATATTGTTCAGCAAGATATTTTGTTTTAGAAAACTTTACTTTTATATCGTCAAAATCGTGTATTTATATACTGCAGACCTTCTAAGTCACACACATGTGCTTCTAAACACTAATCACTTCCGTTTTGTAAGACTTAACAGAATACTGCCTGTTTTTAGGAGAGACATGTGCAGTTTGCCACTATTAACACTGTATTTATAGATACAGTCTTAAGCAGTAAGTCTGATGTTATAAAAGTTTTTCTTCATTTATTACGTTTTCCGAACAGGTTTGAATCATACTGAATACAAACTGCCTCTCTGTTTTATGCAACTCACAAAAATTCTCAAACTTTTCTGGGCGTTATGTTTTGCGTTATAATTAGCACACCCTTGGTTTTAATTAGTTTATTTGTTCTTCATTACACTGAAAGTTGCGTCTCAATTTTTGCATCATCTCAAACAGTAAGGATCGATTTGAGTAAATCTTGTGTACCTATTGATGTTGTTTTTCCCTCCAGGAGAAACCCGACACTTTTCTTTAGTAAGTTGCTATGTATGTATTAAGCGGCTTTGGTGGTGACGGCGTCAGGAACATTCCGCACCCCGGGAGTCACAGATAAAAGCGACGACCCTAGTAGAGTCTAGGGAGGCCTGACGGCACTATTGGAAAACCTCTACCACTATCTTGTGTACCGAAATCTGTGTTTGATGATATGTGAGTGGGTCGATGAATTTGTATATAGTTACAGAGTGAGTTGATAGCTGGTTTTTTTTCCAAACGCGTCGGCCAACTGTGAGTGCATCTATTCACACAGGCGACGCCGAGTAATATCTTCAGAACTAAAAGCAAGAGAACTTACCAAGAGGGAGGGGAAGCTTGTCCTCGTGGATTTAATGTGATGGACTCTATCATTCAAGAATCATACATGACAAAATGAAGTTTCCATAGAGATGGTCTCGTGCTGGTCACGAACTCCGCATGCGCATGAGTTGAATAGGGGTTGGCACTCTCACGGCACTAGCCCGCCTCTATTGTATCAAGTCTCGACTGCAGATATACACGCTCAACATGAATGCCAGGTTTCTGAAAAGAATTTGGAGGCTACTATTTGCCTTTTCAAAAATATGGGTACGATTTCCAAAGAACGGCATCTCTTATCGAGTTGCATATTGTATTGTCTCAAAAGAGGACTATCTTTTACACAATGACAGGCAAAATAAAGCGCTAACGTCACAGCATATACTCGGTACGTGAATCACTTGGTCGGGCTGTAATGTTCTCATTTTGGTGCTGTCGATGAGATAGCACAGCTAGTCGACTTGTAGCTAGCCAACGCAGTGGTTGTGAAAACCGAAACGGATATATGTTTAAATCCTACTATAAGTTTGCTGACACTTTCAGCGTTAAGCTTAAAGTACAGTTTAAAAAGACGTTCTAAAAGTTGACTCATATAAGAAACTACTTCAAATGTATATGACAGTCTTAGTCATCTGGTAAGTTATACAAATTTCCCTTTTTTAACTTAGGAAAAACAGTTTTACTCATTTAGCAGCCAATGTGCTTGCACATGTCGTACACTGACACGTGTAACATCATATTATGTGACTGAGCATATGCTTTTCAGGAGAAGCTTCTGATTGGCTTAGGGCTTTGAGTACAACGAACAAGCTAATAGTGTTAAATAGAAACATTTTGTAATTTGCAAAGATGAACGCCTTTGGCCAAGTTATGACTGGAGAAACTAGTGGGTTACATAACTACAATACTAAATAAACTTGAATCCAAATTCGGTCAGATTCTACATGCTGTTATACAACTCAAATTGCTCCATCTAAAGCTTTATAAATTCCAAATTGCTGACTTTCTTCACCATTAACCCATTGATGGTTCCTCGATGGCTCAGTGGTAATTCTGGGGGCTTATGATGTTAAAAATCGGTTTCTATGCCCGCAGTGGGCAGAGCACAGATAGCCCGTTTTTAGCTTTGCACTTAGCAACAAATAAACCATTTATGATCTGGTGAAAGCTCTGATGAGTGAAAGTCGATATGTTTTTAGATAACATTATCTGGTTCTATCTTCAGTCTTATGCTATAAGACGCAATTCGATTATTGATCGTCGGACGATCAGCCATTAATATACATTAATTTGTTAAGTCTATTTTGAAGATGCCACAGAGTTTTTAATTAAGTACTTGCATCAAGGTATCTTTGGACGTTTAAGCCTTTTGCCACCAGGGAGATCTGACAGCTCACTTTTTAATGGCCAGTTTTTTTACTCATCCAAGATATAAAATTCAGTAGGAATAAGATTAAAATGTGACTTATCAAAACGATTTCTCTCACAGATAATGATTTATGTTTCAAACCAAATTATAAGCAGCATATTTCTGAGAATTAATAATAATTTATAACATTACAAATCACGAGTACGTTCGATTTCATGGCCTTTTCTAATTAAATTTCACATTCAGTTTGATCAAGCTAAGCCATTAGACTATTTATCTGTGGTTTATCACAGTAAAAGAATTTAGGCAACTTTTGCGTTTTACAGTTTAACAAACTCTGACGGTAAGAACTGAAGCACTGTTCTTAATTTTTTTTTTATCTAACGATATGGAATTGTTATGATAATATAAGTTGTAATTACAATAAACTTTACTTTGTTAATTCATTAACAAAATTAGAAAAATCATGACTTAACTAAATAATGTGGAGAGAAAACACTGACATGAATATAATGTTATAAAGTGGAATGAGTAAATTACTAAGCGAATATAATTAGTAAGCGGAGATCGAGTACGTTATATTTAAACGATTTTGGAGCCTCACCACGTTGTTACAGTCCATGTCGCCACGTCTTGTCATGCCCTATCTGACGACACGATTGTATATCTTGACAATAGCCCTGCAGCATATTTTTCATTGAAAAGGAATCAGTTGTAAGGCTGTTATATCCACACCACTCATTCCTGCATGCCTTCCTAATCAATTTGGTGTACTGTGCGAGGATGACAGCTTTGCATTAACAGTCCAATCTCACAGAAATCCATAGGCGCTGCGTCCGGCAACTTGACCGATTGTCTTCGTATGGAATATCTGTTTCATTATCCAGTTGCTTGGGGTATGCGACAGTGAAGGGGAGGTATGACTGGAAGCATTATCTTGGTGAACCCATACCCTGTTGGCCTCGTTTCTCAACGAAGATCCGTCTTGATTATGTTGCGCACTGTTACCTTGGGCACATGGACAGCTTTTGCCACTGATCTTTGTGTTCGAGGATTCTTACTTGTTACAAGACGCTGTACTTTGCATGCCACGGTTGGGGTACGACTTGTTGTTGTTGTTCTGTTTCTGGATGGTCCTGGTGCCGCAAGTTGATACACATTCCTTTGTTTTCCAATGATATTAAGCACAAAAGAAATCCCCGTCTTAGAAATTCTAAATCCCTGATCTGAACACATCTTTATGATCTGAATGTATGAATATTTTGCTTAGGAAGGGGCTGTTACATAATATTCTCAAAAGCGATCAATTTTCGGTAGCATCATACTACCTACATAACATCAAACAGTGCGAAATATAACTTTATACTGGCAATGGTTGTCAGTGGCTTGTTGATTTTCAGATTCAGAATTGTTTTAATATATTCTACTCAACCTTATATATAGTTAATTAAAAGTTAAAAAGGCACAAGTTATGACTACTTTGGAAAACCACGACTAAAAATGTACCTGGAAATAAGTATAGTTAATTACACATACTGTTCTTTCATTCTTACTTATAAACAGAAGAAATTCGGGATGGGGACAAACTAAGGTTTATGGATCAGTTGCATCCGTCCCTAGTAGAAAACAATACTCCTGTTTATAGAAATTAGAATGAACTGTTTCCTCAGTTTGGTAGTCTCGCGGTTAGTGGTACTATCGGCCGTAATACCAACAATTTGTCACGAGGAACGGCCAGGTTAGGAGATTTAGATTAGTCCTAAACCCATATACTTAGCTAACAATGTAAAATAACCTTTGTAAGGAAAATATAATAATGAACTATTAAAAATAACTCATTGCATATTGAGTCTAAAAATCGTTTATTTGGTCTACAATTACAGGTTAATACTGATGCATGTGCTTAAATCCTACAGTTTAGATTTTTTTCATCGCTGCACGTCATAACTCATATAACCATTGCTGCTTGAAGTCTTGGTTTGGTGATGTACGGACACATGATTGTGCATTGTTCGGTTTCACGAAGTGCCACCAACAAATAGTAGTGTTGAACTAAAAAAAAGTTTAATATATATATATATATCTTTACAGCCTTTTCAATTGGTTTAAGTTCAATAAAGCGACACATAGTTTCGAAAACTAACAATATGAACTTTATAAAATGAAGTATACGGTGAAAAATTAAAGTTAGTACAGTGTTTAAGTGTGTTTGAGTTTCGTTCCTAATAAATGTGAAAATTTTTCTAACTAAAACGGTTCTTGAAGAACATACCGCAAAAACATAGGATTTACATATAAGGACCGGGTGTGTTCTAATGGTTAGTTTGTCGAACTGTGGATCAGAAGGTTCAAGATTCGACCCTACGTCCTGCTGCTGAACATGTTCTACAGTAAGATTAGCCGTTTAGACGGTGGTTGTGTCTGTATGATTGTTTTCCTTCTGGTCAGCATTTTAAAATTAGAGATTTCCTTATGTCTGAGTCTTAGGGATCTTACAATTCACCATTAAGTCCATTTGTCCAATAAAGTGCCGTTCAAGTTGAAAATTTCTAATGCCTTACATAAAAACCCTTTATTAAGTAATGGACATAAAATCCCGAAAAATCTAACAATGAATTACTACATTAAGTAAAAGAAACGCTCACTTAAAAGGGTAAAAAAGCAAAATATATTTATACCAAGTTTTAGATCATGGTTATATACATCAGGCCAAAAATGTGATTTGTCATAACCTTTGTGTTCTACCGAATGATGTGAAATTACAGCAATCTTTTTTTCTCGCTACTGTCTCTCTGTCCTCATTGTAACAAACTTAATATAGGTATTTTCTTACAAGAAATTACTATATTTATAATTATCAACTTCGCAAGTTGAACAAATCTCAAGCTTGTGCACCTACGACATCTTACATGTATAGATGGATAGATCATGTAAAGCTTTCTCGAGTGGAGTAAACGTACAATTCAGTTTGATGAAAATATTAATAAAGTTATAGGTACTTGAAAAATCTGATGTAATATTAGTAAATCTGTGTATCTATCTATATAATATATAATAATCTATCTGTATATATAGTATTACTTTAATCCTAAGAAACTGCATAGGTTTTTTCACAGAGTTGCTTTAGAATTATTTGCGACGCCACTTGTTTTTGTGGCAGAATGACTTTCGTGGAGTTTTGTTAATCTAACAGTTATTAATTACATAAACACGTGGATTTTTTTGTCTAAATAAAAGACGTTTTCTTGAATGCACCACCCACCAAATATTTAATAAATTTTGCCACTGTGAAGACTTCTATTGACCAATAAACAGCTATGGACGAAATTGAGCCTAACAAATAACGAAACTGAACCTAATCGTTTTAGTTGTTCGAATATGTTGAACCAAAAGTGAATCGAGCTGTGTGAACTATTTTACTACAGGTTATTTGCAATGCTAAATAACTATGATGTAAACTATAAACCGTGCATGTCGATACTAAAACGACCAAAACATTACAAGTGTCTTTGAAAGTGTACATCAAACTATATTTATGTTATCTGAGTTTGCTCTATCATTTTACGATGCAAAACACCCTAATGTTTTCCACATACAAATAAATGTCATTCACAAAGTATATGTTCGTGAGCATTATTTTCTAGGCTTCAGCATTAGAAATTATTCGTGTTCAATTTCATACTTTTAAGCAAAACGCCTGCTAGGCTTTTTGCCTTCCCTATTCTAGTGTAACGTTATCGTTTCTGGAGAGGAAAGCTCTCGTCTGCTATGGCTTCGGGCCATTAAGTTTAATAAATTGAAAAATTGAAAATCTATTTTAGCGAATAAAAAATATAAATATGTCTATGTTACTGTTATGAATACTCTAGGACTATTAAAATCTGACGTACGATGAATATACATCTTAAGGTGGAGGAAATCCTCCCACATAGCAAAAAACAACAACATACTATCTATCTTTATTGCCCAGGGGAACTGCAAAAAAAAAGAGAGAGAAAGGAATTCAACTCTAAATTAAATTATGCAGCAAGGGAACAATATTTATGTGGGAGGATTTCTGTTGTTGTTGTTGTTTTTAAACAGAACTTTTGAAAATCAAGCCTTTTTTTAAATGCTTAAATTATGTAGTTAAATAATTATAGCATTCTTAAAAAAAACAGCAGTTATAAGACCTTTAATTAAAAAAATACGAATAATAATTGAGTTTGTGGTTTCGTTTATGAATTAATTTTTGTTTCTGGAAATCATTTGTTTCTTATACTTTGT